TCTAGCCTACAGCACCTAGTATTCTTTGGTGTTTACCAATAAAGTACTAAGCAGAGCTTTGTTTGCAAGATCAGATGAGATCTGGTGCCTTTAATGTATATCACCCATAAAAAAACTGGAGAAGGGGAGAAATGTTCATTTACCATAAGAACCTTGCTTTCCTCTGTCTATGGTAGAATGAATGAAATATAACTATTATTTCTCTTTAATTTTATGTCAACTAATATAATAATAATAATAATAATAATAATAATAACTTTATTTATACCCCGCTACCATCACCTCAAGGGACTCGGTGCGGCTTACATGAGGCCGAGCTCACAATACATCAGTAATAAAAGCAATAACAACAGTAATATAAAACAATAAAATAAAACTCATAACAGAAGATAAGCAATAAACATTAACAGTAACCCAACGACGTTTGAAAACCTATGGCTGGGCCAAATGTAATAATTAAAATTTTGAAAATAATGCTGAGCATGAACAGGTGAGATATGACTAGGATAGAGTTTTCAGAGAGGGATGGAGAGTGCAGACAATCCTAGATCATTAATAAAGTGCATTTAGGGACATATTGCTGGGAGTTTCCTTATTCTGGGAAGTCTACAACTACATTTGTCTTCGTGGTGATGGTTGACATTAAATTGTTAGCACAAATTAATATACCAGGGGTATTATTTGAAATGTACATGTTTTGGGAGAAATTGTAGATCAAGTTAATCTATTCAGTTCATCCATGGTTTCCTAGATGGTTTGTGTTGTGTTGTGCCATGATCAAACATCTCATAATCCTAGGAACTTCTCTAATGTGGAAGACCACACCAAAATACCCATGGCCTCAATCAGAAACAGTAATTGTACCATAGTTTGGGAGAAAGACTGAATATAATGAAAATAAAACAGAATCCCGTTGCTACATGAACTTTACAGATATACAGAATGTATTTATCTCCAAGTGTTTTGAGGGCATATCATCCTATTCCTAGATAAACACATAGAAGACCAGATCATAAAGATAAAATAAGAAATGCAAAGTATAGCAGAGGGCTGGAATTAATGGTGGCATTAAATATTTTTTGTCTGATCACATCTTGGGCCTTGAGGCCAAGGGCTCATTAAACCAGGAAATACAGAAAGAATCAGGGTAAATCTTCTGACACTTGCAATAAACATTCAGTCATTTCTGCTTCTTATTAGCCTTCAGTACCTGAAGCAAAGTAAAAAAAATACTTCTCCCTGTCTTTGTGTATATAAAGAGTTTGATAATAACTGTTATTCTGATATTGCACTATTGCTACATTTAAATCACTTACTCTTTTTCCTATTTGACATATGCCTACTCAGACAAAGTTATGTTACAGTTTTGTATTCATCTATCTAGGAGGAAACCTCAAGGAACTCAACGGAGTTGAATTCTGAGTAGATATACTTAGAATTGCACTTCACAGCTGATTTTTATTTGTTTATTCAATGTATTGTTGTTTGCCTTCAAGTTATTTCCAACTTATTATGATGATCCAAAATTAGGAAATACAACTCTTAGATTGACCAAGTGAATGCAGCAGTTAGGTTTAATTAAGCCAGTGCCTTTCCTTTCCCTGTCTTCTTTAACAGCTGCCTCAACTGGAAGCTGGTGAATCATTTGGTAAGCTCCAAATGGCTGAAGCTGTCTGCTTCGAGGGCTTCCCTGCCCTGCTTTAACCTGGCATGTTTCGCTTCCTCTATTTCAGACCTCTGCTACCTGATCTCCCATTTCCTCTAGTCTAGACTTTGTAAGAAAACCCAGACATTTAAATAAATCTGCCTAAATAATAATTTTAGCATTGAAAAAAGGACAGGTCTGAGAAAATAAGGATGTATGGGAATTCTAATACTGTATTTTCTGGCATATTTTTTAGCACAGGAAAATCTTCTCAAAAGTTGGGGGTTGTCTTCTATGCTGGGTGTCATCTTCTAGGGTGGTTTCTGAAACTTCCGAGCTGGACTGGAGAATCTGTGGTCGCTGCATATGATGGGGGGAGCTCAAACAGCCATGGCCGCATCCCCGCTGTATGTGGTGACTGTATATAGCAGCATGGGCAGCGCTGTACAAGTAACGTAGGATTCGTGGAAAGAAGTGACTTAACGTGGTCCCGATGATGAGGTGCCTCACCGGGAAGGTGTAAGTGAAGGGCAGAGCAAGCTGCAGGCCTCCGGGATGGCCAGGTTATGGGAAAAAGACATAGAGCGGTGCTGTCTCCAGAAAACATATGTCTTTCACCCGTCTGGCCTGCCCTTATATCCTATTACCATACCTCCTCCTCTGCCTCTCGCTCCTGAGGACTGCAGTGAAGCAGCGCAGGTGCACATGTGCAAGATCTGAGAGGTAGAGAAGGAGGTACGGTAATAAAATTACTATCTTGAAATCAAATCTGATATTTTTAAAAATTTTATTTGGTGTGTGTTCGAAGAGGGGTAGTCTTATATGACAAGTATATCACAAACTCTATATTTTAACTGGAAAATTTGGGAAAATATGGGGTATATATTTATGTATCTACACGTATAATAAGGCTGATCAGTATATCACATTAGCACTGTCCTCCAAGAATTCATGGATGCATTCTCAAATAGAGACCAGCACAGAGACCAAGACATCTTGCTTTTGATTGAAGATAGGAGCAAGGACCATTTTCTCCCCATGCAGGCCCACATTTTTGGCTGAAAATTACTAAAATCTACTTTGACATCTACTTCTTTTGTTGATGTTTTGCTGGTTTTGAGGGGCTGGTGTTGAATTGGGGGTACATCCCTACTCCAGACTGGCGAATCATCCTTTTGGGTCAAAGTTTAGCCAGAATTGAATAAAGTAAATGTGATGGAGAGGTTGGAGGGGTAGGGGGGGGGCACTTGAGAACTGCCAAAAGGGAGTTGAAATCACAGACAACTCAACCTTTCCTCTGATGAATATGGATTTGGGCTTTATAGTCCCTCAGTAAAGCAAACAGATGGGAAAATATTTCGCAACAATAAGCATTTGATTGCCTTAAACATAAGTTTTAATTAAATTTAGCTACATTTACATTTTGGAATTTTCAGCACTTTGGTTCATTTAGAATACATTGAGTTCATTTTCGGCTGTTTCTGTGTGTTCACTAATTCCAGACCTTTGATCAATGTACATATTAGTTCATTTAGTTGACCCAGAAAGATGGCATCTTCTCTCAGAATGTAAACATTATATTCAAGGATGAGACAGAACAGAGAGCTTTAGTGGCCTGATTTGCAAGTAACCATCTTACTTTGACTAATAAGATTGGGTCAAAATGACAGTCATGTCCTTTTTCAGAAAACTCCATTCCACCCTTCTTGATTTAAGGCATTGGCGTACTGGCTGATATCCAAATAGGGGATGGGCCAGAGATGCCTTGGTCCTTTCATTACTGGCTGCTACTTCCCAGCGGATGTCAGGTGGTGCAATACCAGCTAAGCAATATAATTTTTCCAGTAGTGTGGGGTGTAGACATCCTGTGATAATGTGGCATACCCTGTTTGGATATCAGTCAGCACACCAATGCTTTAAATCAAGAAATAGCTTTCTAAGATCTACAGAGATACTTGCAGGAATACTTACATCAGCAAGAGATACTACAGAGATACTTACATCAGCAAGCGAGAGTCCAAAAGCCAGAACCTCAATCCATGGCTGATACCAAATGAGAGACTCCTTTCTGGGGCACACAGAAGACTGGGCAACTTCGAAGGTGTTGAACAGGCTGTGCTCTGGCCACACTTAAGAAATGGGGCTACAGAGTGGAGTCCACGACATGCAAGTGTGAAGAAGAGAAAACCGCAGACCACCTATTACAATGCAGTCTGAGCTCTGCCACAACAATGGGGGACCTTCTGATAGCAACACCAGAGGCAGTCCAAGTGGTCAAAGGACATTTAGTATAATGCCAAGTTTTTAACTTTGTGTTTTTAAATACATTTGCAGCCATACCTTATGATATTTACCTTAGTTTCTTGATAAACCTTTTGCTTTCTTTGAAACACATACTTCTTAATCCTCAAAATGAGTAAGTTTTCAAGTACAAACATTGAATTGCCCTCATTGCGTTTGACAGTACACATGTGACTAAACAGTAACGGAATGGGATCAAGACTCCTCTGGGTCTTGCTGAAGTATCCCTCTTGAGAAAAGGTGATGGTCTTTTCACTATGTAAGAATTGATGCACAGTGTTTGTTATTAATGCATATGCTTTAAAATATGAGGGTTGAATGAAAAGTAATGCCTCCACCTTCATAACTCCTCAACAGATGGCAGTACTGGTATGCGGCAGGTACTGGTTTGTTCAGTAGACTCACCTCAGTTCCATTTTGGCAGGAAGCCTTAGCATTGAATGGTTGTGTTGTTAAAGTGCAAAGTATGGAACCCTGAGCAGACAGTTGGTCAATGCAACTTAAGCAACCTGCAGTCATTGAATTCTTGACAGCAGAAGGTCACCCCAAAGGAGATTCATCCGAGAATGCAAGCTGTTTATGGTGATTGTGTTGATGTGAGTACTGTGCGTCGTTGGGCGAGTAAGTTTAAAGATGTTGAGGTGGGAACATTTGACTTGTGTGACAAAGAGTTGGACGTCCTGTGACAGCAACCACCGAGTTTCACAAGCAAAAGATTGACAGATTGATTCAGGACAATCATTGTATCACTCAGATACAAATTTCAAGCATAATTGGCATTTCACAAGAACGTGTGTGTCACATTATTGCTTTGTTTGGCTATCGGAAGATCTGTGCACAATGGGTTACGGAAACAGAGTGTCGACTTCTTCCGTGACGGCTTCAGAAAACTTGTTCATCACTGGCATAAATGTATCCAATTGTCTGGTGATTATGTCGAAAAGTGAATAGTGGTAGTTAAAAACCACATTCTAAGGTTTATTTCTACTTTTGATTTATTAAAATATTCCCATCCAAACCCAAGTAACGAAGGTGGAGGCATTACTTTTCATTCAACCCTCGTATGTCTGCATAGAAAAATCTGCAACTCAGCAGGTAGTTTCTGCAAATAATTAAGCTGAATTAAGGTGTAGTACTGCATTATGCTCTGTATAGTAAACCATCTTCACTTGTAACAAAGTCTGTTGCCCTTGTCTGCTTCTGCTGCTGCTTCAGAGGATCTTTGCAACTTGAAAATTGGTGACTACACATAAGGTGCATTGAGCCTGCTATTCTTGGGCTCCAAGCCAGAGTACCTGACAGAAGAATTTGGCAAATGAGTGCAGATGTTCAAATCATGCTTCAGGGCTTGAAAGATTCTTTGCATTTTTACCTAATTAAAAAAAATGAAAAGGGGTGAGGGAAGGTTTAAAGAGAAAAGGATAAGTTTTTGTCAAGGCTGTGAAAGTCTTACCCCATATACCAGAATTATATCCCAGTAACTGAAATATTATAACAACCCAATTCACTAGGAATGTCTTCTTCACATGCTTAATTGCAATTTTAAGAGCTCTGTGTTGTTAAATGGTGCCTCCTAATATCGCAGGAATGGGTATACCAACACTTGCAAGTACATTAAGCTTTAACCAGATCCGGATTTCTTCTTCTTAGGAATCTGCAGGTGTCCAATGTCAATGTGCTTCTCCTGTGTTTTTCCATTCCACTAGAGAAAAGTTATAATTCCACCAAAGAAATTACTATCTGTAATCTATTTCCACTTGTTGAAAATTAACACTATTGTAAAAATGAAGCATTTCCCCTTCTTTCCCCCTTTTCCAGAAAAAAAGATGTTTATTGCCAATCCGTAGGACTCTATGGCATGGAAGGACATCTTACAAAATTTTGATGGTAATTTCAAAGGCAGTAGGGACCTCTGTGACTGCCAAATTTTCGTGGCAGAGGAACAGCCAGCAGTGGATTGTGAGCTTCCATTATAACAATCCTTCCACTCTCAGAAATTGCCCAGATCTGCTTAGAGTACAGAGGCAATCATATAAGTTTTTTTGTGTGTGTCAGGAGCGACTTGAGAAACTGTAAATCACTTCTGCTGTGAGAGAATTGGCCATCTGTAAGGACATTGCCCAGGGGACACCCAGATGTTTGATGTTTTACCATCCTTGTGGGAGACTTCTTTTATGTTGCTGAATGGGGAGCTGGAGCTGACAGAGGGAGCTTAACTCACTCTCCCTGGATTCAAACCGCTGACCTGTCAGTCAGTAGTCCTGTCAGCACAAGGGTTTAACCCATTGCGCCACCGGGGGCTCCAATCATATAAGTTAATCTCTGACATACTGAAAGAATTGCTGCCAACCCTTGTACTATATACTTCACTTTTTTTCTGAAAACTTCTTCAAATACAAATTTTGCATAGTCTCTAACATTCGACAGAAAGCCTGCAGTAGTTTTGTTTTGCCCAAATCTTCCAGAAAGTGCGAGATTCTTTCCCTTTTATTGTTTATCCTTGCTAAGTTCATCTGGCAAGTTACTACTGCATTTTGAACTCAGTTTACAGCAACTGAAGTAAGTTGATGACAAAAAGGAAAAGTGGGAGGAGGAAAAAGAAACAGGCATTTTATAAGCAACAGAAAAGGTTTAATCAGGACAGGCTGACAAATTGGGAATATTGGAGAGTATGATTAGCTGAAGTAGAACAGGGCAATGGGGTTTGACTGACTATACAATGGGTGCTAAAGGTGTAGTCACACTTTGAATGGGATATCCCAGCAGGGGGTTTGCCTTGGTAACTGGGATGAGGAAATGTTCCAAGGAAAACACTGAGAAAAAAAAAATCTGGAAAGAACCCTGTAGCTCTACCTAAATCTATTATGTGTCGAACAGGGCATGGTGAAGGAATTAGGGATTTTCCTAAACTGAATGTTGAAAGATGCTCTGAGATGTGGGGTGCATACAATAATGCTTATGCAACTCTTGGCAAATTCATTGGGGGAAATGTTATCACAGACCCCCATGCTGAACCCCTATTGAGTGTTTGGAGTCCTGGTTTTCAACAAATGTGGGAGTCCCTTGACTAGCAAAGAAAGCTGATTTCTCAGATCCTGGGCCATAGGGCCTCCTGGTGCTGCCTCCTTGTCCCACACTGGGTGATATCAAACCTTATAGATCAGTGGTTCTCAGCCTTCCCAATGCTGTGACCCCTTAATACATTTCCTCATGTTGTGGTGACCCCCAACCATAACATTATTTTTGTTGCTACTTCCTAACTGTAATTTTCCTACTGTTATCAATTGTAATGTCAATATCTGATATTCCAGATGTATTTTTATTCACTGGACCACATTTGACATAAATACCCAATATGCTCACATTTGAATGCTGGTGGGGTTGGGGGATTGTTTTTGTCATTTGGGAGTTGTAGTTGCTGGGCTTTATAGTTCACCAACAGTCAAAGAACATTCTGAACTCCACCAATGATGGAATTGAACCAAACTTGGCACACAGAACTCCCATGAACAACAGAAAATACTTGGTTTTCTTATGGTCTTTGGCAATCCCTCTGACACCCCCTTGAGACCCCCCCCCCCCCCGGGGTCCCAAAGCTCAGATTGAGAAACACTGTTATAGATTCACTTTTGTTGATAAAGAGCTAACTCAAATTGTTATTCAAGAATCATAATGCAACTGCTTGCCCTTCCTTGCCCTTTATTATCTGCATTGGTTCTTGAATTTAATCCCAAGAGGATTGCACGGCAATCTAAATTTTAGCATAGGTCTTTAAAAAAAGGTCTCGAAGAAGTCAAAAACAACAAGAACAACAACAACAAATCCATCATTTGTCACAAGAGAGGCGAGTTCCTCATTTACAAGCATTTTCATTATGCCATTTTGGTGGCCTGAAATTTATGAATGCCATAAAAACTACTGTTCAGAATTGGGTGATTGAAAGGCCTCTTTGTCATGAGATGATACAAGAATTTCCAATGCAGAAGAAGCCACTTGTGATTGTTGTCACATCTCAGGAAATTAGACAGTGGGTTCTGTTATTTATAAGCTGTTCTTCTGGGTATAATGTTCTCCCAAGGGCAGTGTTCAATATTTCATCAAAAATCATAAACAGCTGTAAAATATGGCTAAACAATTAAAACTACAATACACAAACTGGGGAGAATTAATTAGTCTTAACAAATATTTTTTTAAAAAAAGAGTGTACAAAAACATGTGTTACTTTATTTTTTAATGCTGCGTGCATTTCCTAGGGGATCATTTTGCTTAGTTGAGAGTTCCTCACCAGAGAGGCCTGCCCACCAGCAAAGCCATCCATATAATATTTCTCATCAACTAAACAGAAAATGAAATCTTAGAGGGTACATTTATTGCTACTACTTAATTTTGCCATAATTCTGCTACTTGGCCTGATGTTGTGGCTATATTAAGGGTACTCATAAACACTTTCCATTTTACATAATAATAATAATGAGAAACATAGAGCCATATCTTCCAACACTTCACAGATGAAAACTGGGACTTGTGCACCCTTGCTGCACTGGAGTGTGATTAAGATGGCAAAACTTACTAATAAGGAAGAAACTACAAGTTAGGAAAAGTTGCAGGAGTTTGCTTTTGCCTGAGCATACAGGGAAGGGTGACTATTGCCCCCCTTCTTGTTTCACTGAATTAATTGAGTGAAAACTACTTTTGCACTTTAAATTCACAGATGAAATCCAAGACATGTTTGGCCAAACAACATCAGACTGTGCTTGTGGAGTTAAAACAGACAAGCTAGAAGAGTCTGCAGCAGTTAGGTTCTGCCTGAGCCTACTGGGAATGTCAGCATGCTGTAAGAAGCAAAGACCACCAGAACTGAAGCGATGCTCCTACGCCGCCAACTCCTCTGGACTGGCCAAGTTGTCCAAATGCCTAATCACCATTTCCCAAAGCAGTTACTATACTCCCAACTCAAGAACGGGAAACATAATGTTGGTGGACAGGAAAAGAGGTTTAAAGATGGGCTTAAAGCCAACCTTTAAAACTGTGACATATGCACTGAGAACTGGGAAGTCCTGGCCCTTGAGTGCTCTAACTGGAGGTCAGCTGTGACCAGCAGTGCTGCAGAATTTGAAGAGGCATGAATGGAGGGCAAAAGGAACAAACATGCCAAGAGGAAGCCAACCCTCACCGGGACCACCTCCCATCTGGAAACTGATGTCCTCACTGCGGGAAAGCATGTGGATCAAGAATAGGGCTCCACACTACAGATCTATCGCCAAGACACTACATGTGGAGGACCATCATCCTCAAGCTACTTGGGATCACCTACGTAAGTAAGTACTTAGTAAAGCAAGTTTTAGTCCCTTTCTGTCTTCTCTCCCTGCTGAGTTAATTGGGTGAAAATTACTGTTTCCCTTCCCAGTTTGGAGCAATCAAAGTTAAGTTGATATGAAGGAATAAAGCAGGACAATTTAAAAGCAGATAAAAGGTGAAATGACAGAAGAATAATCAGGACTGTTCCTGTCAAATGGGGAGAGCAGGAAGGCATTTAGATGTGCAAATAAAGGGTGATTTTATATACTTGTAAGTTGGAATCGTTTCCCACAGCAAATATTGCAAAACCAAAGTTTCTGAGACCCAATTAAGTTCTTTTACAGCAGCAATCTTTGGTTGTCCAGCAGTTTTGGATTTCAGCTCCCAGAATTCTTGACAGTTTGTTAAACAACCGGAGGACCAAAAAGTTGGGAACCACTGTTCTATTAATATGGATTCTGTATCTATATAATTGGAATTGTACTGCATACTTCTTATTGAGAGCACAAGTGGACTCTAAATTGAGACTCTGGGGAGGAACAGATCTATAAATGAGAGACAGGAAGCAATTTAAGAAAACTGTAAGCTTGAGTGGGGTAAGGAGAAAAAAGGAGCTCAATAATGGTAAGGATCAGCCTGTTTAAGGCACAAGACTCATGTGAGCAAAAGCATTCTGCCTCAGTAGATTTTGTCCATGAAATGTGTGGAGTTCATTTAAAATAGACATGTCAGTAGATAGCAAGAAAACAGTCTTCTGAGAATAGCTCTGCTGTACAATGTGCTATCTTTTTAACTCTTGCTATTATGCACAATTATTCTGGGCTCTTCACTGGCCTAGTTGCATCTTCCCATTCTACTTAGTGATCTGTCCAGAAAAGGAAAGGTTCCTGTATTATGATTTATGTGAGTTGTAAAATATTTGCAATGTTCAACAGATAACAACTGCAATTGAAACTATTGTTGACTCATATTTTAAGCTCCATCTGAGCTAATCTGGTTTTGCTTTTCCTTTAAAATGGTTGTTGCTTGATTGCATAAGTGTGCAGTGAACAGTAGGAACCAACACTTTGTCAG